CTGATACATTCCTTAGAACTAAAAAGATTAGTAGGTGTTTGTCATGGACAAAAAAATTGTTCTGAACTTCTGATCCTAATAATTCCATTGGCTCGAATTTCTCGGTTATCCTCGGGTCAAAAATGTAAAACGATTCAAATTTTGTTTGGAGCAAGCGACCAACTGATAATCGAGTTCAAACTGGAATAAAACTTGTGAATTTTTTCTATAAAAAAACGCATCCTCCATGGAGGCATTTTCAATGCGACGATTTACTGTTCTGGTGTCGACAGTCAGTGTTTTTGCATCCTCATCTACAACGATATTCTCGGCAAAACTCGTTGAATACGGTTGTGGAACCCACAGGCATGCAGGAGAAAATCCACTTGGATTATTTTCGAACTCCAGGTTCTCGAGAAATGTTTCTAATCCACCAGGGATAGATTATAATACGTGAGCGCATCCAATTTTATGTAAAGGCACTCGGAACGGATGCGAAGAAATTCGCAATAGTATTTTATATCCAACGTATTTTTTTCTGATGCCCGGCCTTCAGCCAAAGTTCAAGTACAGTAGTCTTTCAGCAACGATATTCTGCGTACTTGAGGATTTCTAAAATTTATTCTGATGCATCAAGAGTCGAGTTAAATACAGTATTTCAGCAACACAAAAGCGATCAATGCGACAATTGCTAATGAGACAAAATTATCTGCGACACAAAATCTGCATGTGGGGGGAAAAAGGCGCAACGTGCATCAAGTACGAAAACGCGAAAGAAAGAGCGAATGCAAAAAAAAAAGAATTCCGCCAAGAAGAAGAAAAGAAGACGAAGCACGTAATAAAAATGATCAGGGGAAATGAAATAAAAATTGACCCCTAGCTCAAAGAACGCGTTGCGGCGGAAGGCGTGCAATGATGGACCCCCGAAGGTTCTCGAGTCGGGAAGGAGGACAAACCCTGCAAAAGAAATGAGTTCGAGCCGGTGTGGGCGGCACAGCGTACTCCCCCAAAATCGTACTCCAGGAGTACACCCTGCCTAGGCAGGATGCACTCCAGGAGTACACCCTACCTAGGCAGGGTGTACTCCAGTGTGCGCTATGCCGTCTGGCGGGTCTGTTCAAATCCGCGGAGTGAAGTTCCATGGTGAACACATGCAGTAGTTCTTTCAATGAAATTCAGAGGAGAGCCAATTCCATCTGGTTGCAATGAATCTTGTTGATGCTTTGGAGAAATGTCTTCTTCAGTCCCTGCCCCAACTGCCACATTCTTATTTAAATTTCTTTTTGACATCCGTCCGGCGGGTCAGTTCAAATCCGTGGAGTGAAGTTCCATGGTGAACACATGCAGTAGTTCTTTCAACGAAATTCAGAGGAGAGCCAATTCCATCTTGTTGCAACGAATCTTGTTGATGCTTTGGAGAAATGTCTTTTTCAGTCCCTGCCCCAACTGCCACATTCTTATTTAAATTTCTTTTTGACGAATTTTCGTATATGATGGAAGCTTTTTCAAGGTCCAAAAGGCTTTCTTGTCTGAAGTTCTACTTTATTTTTGCATTAATTATTAACTAACATAACCTGACCTCATAATCGGGGTAAAGAGGATTCATGTTTGAGAACCACACATGGATGCCGCTGATAACATTCCGTGTGTTGTTCTTAGCGACATCTATGAGGGCATTGGTTTGCGCATGGCTCCCCTCAAGTGGGATAGCTCCAAGGCCTCCCCTGAAAATAGATTTCTGCAGAATTCATCATTATTTTTGCCAAAGTAAATGCTGCTTCAAGAATCACTGTGGAATCAACTTTCCTCTGAATCCTGTGGAAGATACCCCTGCGTAAGTGATCACTTCAGAAGAGCCTCTGCTGAATCGCACTCCGCGGATGTGGACTAATCCTCCTGCAGGGGGAGTACGCTGTGCCTGGGGAGTATGCCCTGCCTGCTACAACGGTCCTTCAGTACGGATAATTGATTCTGGTCATTGAACAGCAGTAATACCATGCAGTGAATGCCACTCGTAATTTTCGTGGTTCAACTCGTACTTTTTCAGATATGAAACATCTGGATATCCAGATGTTTCATATTTCAAAACTTAGGAGTTGATGGTTTGTCCAAATGCAATTCTGAACATCACAATAACATGCTGAAGGTTAGTCATCCTTCTATGATAGTAATGTACAGTTAGTACAGGACTGTGTATGGAAAGTCCAGTCCATGAGATTTAAGTTGTGATAAACTGTCTACATACTCTACAACATAATACTGTGTAGGATATTTCGGCGAAGTTTTCTCACCTACTTGTCTCAATTGTTCAAGGTAAATTACTGTAATTTTCTTATATCACAGGAAATGAACATTCATGAGAGAATGTGCACCTCGATATGTACAGCGAATAATCTCGATTGTCCTGAGATATGTACAGGACAAACTACTATACAGTAGATTATCGACATGCAGATGATGTTACTTGTGTGAAAACTTTCTCTGCAGCTGTTCTCTGAATGGTTGTGAATTCATGTAACATACCATAAATCAACAGACATAGCACGTCTTTCAACCATGGAAACTTTCACTCTCAGAATAATCCTTTTGAAGATTTTCAATTCTTTGAAAAATAACTCCAAATGATGATCATGCTTGGTTGCCTATATTGTACATTTGAATTCTCTCTACAACAAAATTCAAGAGACCAGGAAAAAGTTTGTTGCAGAGAGAATTCGTCGCAGAGGAACCCCATAGCATGGCTGAAGAACCCTATGGCGCTTTGGTCATAGAAATTCTCGGGGAACCACAGCGAATTACTTTTCGATCACAACACCCGAGAGTAAAAAAGAAAGATTGAACCCTTCGAACGAGAAAGTCAGTTCATCAGCATTTTTCGAACAAAATTGACGTATGCTTCAGCATGGATAAATTCAATTGCTGAAGAACATCCGATTTTCCAGACAATTTTTTTTTTTAAACGTTTTCGGAAGACGCGCTTGAAATCGATGACTTCCTTTAATTCGTATGAGTACATCACGATCGACGCACCAGGAATAATTCAAAAGGAATAAAGGACGAGTTCGAATTCAGATCGAAAAAGCCACCAATAATATTGCCGAATCTCCACAATTCTTTTGCATTCATGAAACCATACACACTCGAATCCACGTGACAACAGAATCGCACATAAATTCTGATCATTTGTTCAATTCTCGCAAGCTCACAATGATCTACTTGATTCTTTTCCGCCGGTGAAAGCGCGCTAAAAAAAAAACCTCGGTATGACTAAAGTGCCAGAAAACAACACTCCGCAGTGCTGACGGAACCAATCTGAAACGGAAACGCGAACTCGTCAATAACGAGTTCCTCATTCCGAAAAAAGCGAAGAGGTTGCACATCGATCCTTCAGTTGGCACAAAAACCGCGGGCAAAACGAGACCCCCTCCAATTAAATAACATTCATTTCTTTTCTTTACTTCCGATCACAATTCCACCTCGGCTTTCTTCGCATCCCCAAAAGAAGAAACACGTCTATTTCATCTTTGCTGAGATTCCGGAGTATCGGCTGAGGATAACGCGGAAACGTTTCGATAATTTGCGCCCTTGTTGAAACCTTCTTTTCTAAAAAAAAAAAAAAAAAACAAATGCGGGTTTCAATCCATTTTCGAAGCCTCATCATTGAATTGAACAGGTTATGCTTGCAAATCCCAGCAAAATTGTTGTTTCCGGAAAAAAGAAATTTTTCTCAACTAAGCATCATCAAAATAAATCCATTAAATTTCATACCAACAACAAATAACTTGAAACCAGCTTTGTTAAACCCAGAACTTTAGCAACTACCAAGTTTAACTACCTTTAGGCTAAGGGAAGCTGAACTGTCGGCTATAAAGAAAAATTCATCAGGAATGGTGTCTTCAAGAAATTCAGTAGAGTTACAGAGTCGTCCTCCAACCTGCGAAGTGTAACGCTTCCGTATGCAATTTATGAAATGGCAGGAATGTCATTGCCACAAGGACCAATAAACGCGATAAATAAGCCAACACATAGAACGCGAGTGGAAGACAAAACAAATCATAGTTGAAAATAACACAATTCTGAGATCATTTCTCCTCGTGTACCACGAATTTCTAAAAAAAAAAAAAAAACTCATCAGCATACCCTACCAAGAATTCAATCTAACTTCTGTCACAGCTAAAAAAAAAACATGCGACCAACAAAATGTTTCAGAGATCACAATAAGAAACCGGTGTACTGGTTGGAATGGCAACCCTGAGCCAAATTTCTCGGGGACAGTACTAGGAAATCAGAAGTAATGGACTTACGGTTTTTCTTTTCACCGTGGAGGGAAAGTTGAACGGAGGTTACGGAGGAACTCATGGATCAGCATAGTTCTTGAAACTTTAGGGAATTAGAGAAACTCTAAAATTGATAAAAAAAAAGGCAACCTAAAACAAAGGAACACATTTTTATAGCTCAGAATAAGAGTGAAGGACAAAAAACTGTCATCGGACGTCATTCCAAACCATTACACCGCTTAAAATATCACACTTTAAAATAAAATAAAATACGACTCGAAAAGTTGATCAGCTCATTCAATGGTGACAACAACTGAGGAACATGTAATCAAACTGAAACCACAGCCAGCACGCTACATAAGCCTCAAACCACCTTCCCCTTTTTAAGCAATAGAATTCCAGAATGAAATTAGATCAAAATTTGATAATTCAGGAACACAAAGTTGAGCAAAATCCAAAGCTTTGACATACGAAATCAGGACTAATCAGTATTACGTCAATAATTACCAACTCAAAAAGTTTTCATGCACCCCGGTATTTCTCGTTTCTGGGAACCTAAAAGCAAACAGGCCTTCGCTCAACGACGTTACGAGTAGGTCCGCATAAGACTTAAAACCCTCGGGGGGAAAATCAGAAGAAATAGCAGTCTCGAATATTCCGAGGTCAGGTTTGGAATGAATATGATAAAAAAAAAAAAAAAAACCAAATCGGGTGGCACGCCAATACTCGGAGTTTGATGCTCCCTCATACGCGCAAAACGTCCTCCTCGCCACAGAAAATGAAGGGGAACTGGTCAATCATCGTTTGCACGGCTTGTTCCAAATGCGGCCGAGTTCGCTCGAACAAACCCATGTCTGTGAACTCCAATGGCAGCAACGTGGGCCACCAACAAATCGCCAAATTGCGCGAGTCCATCGAGTTCTCCTTACTCTTCTCAGCAACCCTAAAAATCAACAAAAAACCAATGAAAAGCGTCCAAGTTGATTTGTCTCTGGGATTCACCCACAAGAACCTCCTCCAATAATGATCTCAAGCGTTCCAAAAATTAAAATTAGATGAGTTGAAATAATTTAGAAAATACACGAACCACGACAAGAACCTCCAATAATTATCTCAAGCGTTTCAAAAATTAAAATTAGAAGAGTCGAAATAACCTAGAAAATACACGAAACACGACATTCAACTAAAAGAGACAATAAGCAATTGATACAATTTTGAGAAAACAAACCTGACAAAATGCTGGAATATGAACTTCACAATAGCAAAGTTGTTCGGAGGCAACTTCTTCATAAGTAACTGAAGAGAGAACAAACGAAGACTGCTGTCGTTGAGCTCTGCTTCCCTCGCCAATTTTTCCATCATATCTGGCCCAAAAAGCGGAGGAAGTCGCTTTGAAACAAAATCTTTCAGTGCTGTCGCCACAGCATTCATCGGAATGTCCAATTCGTCCAATCGAAAATCTCCATCTAAAAAAAAAGACGTATTTCACGGATACAATTCGTCTTCACTTGCTGACTTGAGTGCAATATCAGAATACTGGACTTCCGAATATGTATGCATAACTCGAGCAATTACCTTGGTCAAACTTTAAAAAAAGCGCGTCAACTTGTGCCCGATTCCCCGGCACTCGGTAGATTCCTTCCGAGTCCAAACCAGATCCTTCAATATATCGGATGCACTTTTCAAGGAACAACGGAATTGGATTGTCCGGACTTTGCGCCAAGTCTTCCACGGTTTTCCCGTTTGAACTCGTCATTCCCCGACGGGACAAAAGAGACGGCGGCGACGATCCGCCACCCGATGATTTCTTCTTCTTCTTCTCTTCTTGCTTGCGCTGCTTTTCTTCTTCCTTCCGACGCTTTTCCTCCTCTTTTGTTGGCTTCGGAGGCTTCTCTTTTTTCTTATCCTCTGACTTTTTAGACACCACCTGCTTCGGAGAGAAAACAAAATTAATTAATTTACGGGGTGCATACAGTCATTTGTTACTGGGGTGCCCTTTTAATAGACTTCACTCGTTGCACTCGAATGGCTACCATGTTCCTCACAGTTGATCACCACTTTCAATGTTCTTGATTGCGCTGAACACTGTCTTTCGAGTGTACAAGTGATTCTGATTCCCTTGCCTTTGTAGTTGATATTTATCTAACTTTCAGAAAACATCTAATTTAAATACTGCACTGTAAAAATTCGAGCCATTCCCTGAACCTATGATAACCAAGGATCGTGAAGTTAAAAATAAATTAGATATGTATTACACGGAAGTCCGTAAAGTTATTCACTACCTAAAATACTGAAAAACAGCAAAAGCAAAAAAAAAAAAAACTTTGTTCAAGGCAATCGAAAGCATCAAAAAAGTCATTATAGCCCAACATTTTTTTTTGCAAAATCCAGAAGGCGCGATTTCTGTTTTTCTTTTGTGCAAAAAGTGTGAAATATTTTTACAGGAATCCTAATTTGTCATGTAGACAGCGGCGCCACAGTCTACATAGACTGCCATATGAAGAAAGGTCTGCCATCAAAAGCCGAAGTTGCGATTTCATAAATCTGTTTTGCGGAAAATATTTTCAACATTGAAGTGGCACAACAAAATGGATTCACTTTTTCCGAAATATTTGTCCTCGCAACCTTCAATTCCGTTTTTTAATACGATGTTCATTACATTTTCAGATAATTAAGAAACAGCAAACGAATACAACGCTAACAGTAGCATTTCTGCAGACCACTCGTAAAACTTCGTTTCAACGACTTAATTGTTTTCGTTGAATGATGAAGCGACGTAAATGCTAGAAAGATATTGAAAATTTTCCTACCGGCACCGCTTCTCCATTCGCTTCCGGTTCATCAACTGGTTTCTGCTTTGCTGAATCTAAATCAGAAAAGTAAAGAGAAAAATATAAAAAACTCTGTCGCTCCACTAAATTTGCAAGCACATGTCCTACTCTTCGCAATCAATTGGCTTCCGGGAACGAAAGATGCTGGAGGAGCTGGAATGGCAACTTCCCTCGGCATCTTCTTGGACTTGAAAGATGAGCGTTTCTTGGACCTATACCTGGCTCGTCCCGCAAAGAAGGTTTCCTCTCCCCTCGGCTCGCTTTCTTCATCCGACGGCGAGCAACTTCCTACAAAAAAATTTTGAATTGACAATTTTCATTGATCACAGTTTCTCTACGGACATCATCGTGCGGCCACAAGACAAACAACGATCACTTCCACAAACGCACATTAGCAACTCAACTAGCGAATCATCCGAAAAGATGGTTCAAAAGTAACGCCTCTGAAATTAAAATGAGTCTGATCAACGAATAATACCGAAGTGGAAATGAATGGCCAATGCTTACTCTCAAAATATTTCACCCCTAGCTCTAAAATGGGTTCGTCACTTTTCCAAGTCTCATATTCGCCCAGAAGAAACATACAGGGTGATGCACGCAAATGTGCACGACATTAAAATGTACAGTACGAATATGAAATTTGCGCAAAAGAAAGGAAGGACAAAAGGAAAAAATTCCGGCATCATCCCGACAATCAGAAGTGTTCCCGCGCATCTGGAAAATAGGATATCAATGGCATATCCAGGACGATCATTCTTGCCTTTTTCACACGTATGATTTTAGCGAATCAATCAGAGGATTTAGCACGGAAAAGGCAAAGCATTCCTTCTCCAATTCGATGAACATTTTTTGAGGTGATGCAAAGCTATTTTTTCCTTCTTTCATTGTTCTCCATGACTTTAAAACAAATTTCACGACTACATGCACACAACTCAACAGAATATACACGTTCTGGTAGGTTCGGTAGAGCGTGAATCACCCTACTCAACCGGTTTCTACCATTATTCCCCGAAATGGATAAAAATGTTGTCTAGCTAATTTCTTATCACTGGGAAGTTTTGCCAGTATTCATGCAATATTAGAACAACGCGATCTAGTCCGATCACATGCAACTCGAGTGCAGTCTAGACTACGGAACGCCGCGGGAAGAAATTTTGTTTGGTTCTCAGGAAGTGAGAAAAAATTCCATGCTGCATTCGGCAGCGAACCTCCTTCCGACTCCAGGCCGCCACCGCCAGCACCACCACCAACTGCCCCCATTGGCACCGGAGCCGCAACCGCAACAACGGCGTCCTTCTTGACTTCGGTCGCAGACGCCGAAGATGATGGGGTGGCTGGCGGTGACTCCATGGGACTCATGACAGGACCACCAAGCACCAAGCTCGGAACCTTGGGCATGGCGACTGGGATGGCGGCGCGCTTTTTGCGCTGTCGCTTTGGTGGGTGTTGAGGCGCCGCCGCCGTGGCATCCTTGGGCACCACGAGCCCGGCTTTCGTCGCCGCGTAAGTTATTTCTGCACCGGCTCGCTCCAGTTGACGTTCCAATGAACTGTACTCCGAGTCCGAGTCGGAATACGCTGTTTGTTGCCCCGCATGGATAAGTTTAGTTTACGCAAAAAAATCATGACCAATTAACCCATACGATTTACATAAGCATCAGCTTTTGTATCAATACCTCGAATAACTTTTCTTGGGCGAAGTTTGAAGGTAAATGGTACACAATAATTCCCACACTTACCAGGTATTTCTTACGCGAAGCCTTCACCCCAAATACCAGCAACCACAGAATACACTCTTACAACCGATTACAGTAGTGTTTATTTTTCAAATACTGTACCCTGACGGTGATTCAACAGTTCACATTTCTCAGACTTTCCGTAAGTAAACAAAAACAAAAAACATCGGTTCAACAGAAGTGAATGAGATTAAAAATGAACCATTTTAGTTTAACACAAATAACTTTCAAAGAATTGTCAAGCGTTGAAAAACTGATGAAGCATCTTCGAAAACGAAGAAATAAATTTCAGCATTGCAGCTTGATCGCACAATAAAAGTGCTTCGAAGAATTCGTGAGTCAATGCAACCACGTCTGAAGGAAAACTTTGAATATTTTGTTTATGAAGTGAAGAGCTCGAGGAAAAGAAAAAAAAAAAAACGCACAGAAAAGTGAAACGAATAGAAGAATTCCGGGGATGAGATTCGATATGACTTACCCGTTCTTCCAGGTGGGTTCTTCTCTTTATGATGTCGATATCTCGTCTGTTTTGAGGCAGATTTCGACTGCGCGGGCAACTTCTGATCTGGCTGCGGTAGGTAGGAGAACTTTCCTTCATATCCGGTATAAACTTTATCCTTCCTCTGTACAACCGATAGACTTTGTTAATAAAATAGTTGACTTGATACTAGGATGTCCAAAATACCCGTTGCTGATCGCCTCTTGCTACATCATAAGCGTCATGACTACCAAGTGGTCCGCCAGCTTTCATTCCTTTAGCTCCGTCAGCGAGACTCAATTTCTCAATCGTATCGACTACTTCGGTATATCTCTCAAGGTTGATTCTACCGGGTTGTTGCTGAAAAATAAAAGGCATTAAGGAATTAAGAGAACAAAATAAAAAAATCTCAAAACCGATGAATTGGGAGTAAATCCCACCACTTTCATTATAACTGCTGTAGATCGATGAAATAATATGAAACTCAATCTCATGGGGGTTTACTAAAACCAAATTAATGAATTATCCACTTCAGCAGAGTTTTACTACCCATTGTCCGCACAGGCCCTGGCGTGTAAGAAAATTTACATGTCTAACAAGGATTCTATTGCGGCTGTCACTAAAATTGAATATTTTCAACATCTTTCTCGTCGGGTTCTTCACGACCAATACGCTTTGATTTTTTTATCCATTCAACCTTCAAATTTCTCCTTCGCAGAGATACTTGAAGACGACACGTTTTGAATTCCAAGCGATTTTATCAATCAGAGGGTGGAAATTACGTTACAAAGGTATTTCTTGGTTTTGTCGAACACTATTCGAGAATTCCCAGTCACAAATGATGCATTTGAGCATTTATTTTCAGCTGCAGAGAACAATATGGGCGAAATTTGGATCGCAAGATTTAATAAATACTGACACATCGATACCTGGTGGAGCTGAATGTAAGACTACAAAAAGGCGGTTGACAAATTTGTAAGCAATACCTTCAATGTTTGAGTGCCTTGTGCCTTCTGTACGCCTTTAACCGCAGCAGCAGCTTTCGCAGCAGCAGTTCCCGGACTCAGTTTTGATCTTCTACCCAAAGTTTGAGATCTTTTGGCGGCTTCTGCCCGTCCGCTCGGATCACTCGTCAGAAACTCGTCAGTGTGGCTCACTTTGAACTGAAACGCTGAGTCATCCACCCACGCTGCAAAAACAAAACAAAATATCCCGACTTCGTAACTTAAACTTGACCAGGACACAAGTCAACACTATTCTAGATAATCACCGCAAACAAATAAACTCATGCATGCTTCCTCTAAAACACAACGATTCAATCACATTTCAAACATTGATAAAGCAACAATTTTACGCAAATGGTGCGATACATTTTCCGCGCATTTTCACGCAAATGACATACAGTACACTTTCATGCGCAATTTCCCGCGGAGAAAATGTCTTGATCGCAAATAAAGTTTTTTCGCATTGTGCAGGGAAAAAAAAACAAACCTAAACCACGATACAGCATTTACTTCGCACCGTAATACCCACGGAAATGATTATGTTCGCATAATTGATACGTGCAACCGTGGGAATACTCGGTCCGGCTGATGCATGAATCCAGTGGAAACGGGCAGATAAGCACGAACTGAATGGAAAAACAGTAACGAAGAGGTCGAAAAATCATTGGGGCCTTCCTTTCAAACAATGTTCAAATCGGGATACTTTTCGCGAATCTGAAAAATATTTCTCTACACACGAGATATTCTTCCTCCAATATTTGTCTCTTCACCAGAAACAATATTTCGTAGAGCTCATGAGCGAAAAACTAAGATTTTAAAAATTTGAAGCGACGAACACTTTCGCAAATGAAATTTTTCAAGGAAGTGCGAAGCAACTACAGAAATGACCCGAGTCACATGCGTCAATTAATTGTCATTTCGAATAAATGAAAAAAAAACAGAAGGCGCACTCAGTGAAAATTTGGAAGCTATTTCACTGCGAACCATTCTACGAAAAGCTTTCTTTCTGCTCTACTGATTAAAAGAAATAAAAATCCATTCGGCCTATAATAAGGAAGTTTTCTTCGTAAGGTCACACAAAATTTGATAATTCCAGTTCTTTTCTATTCAACACCATGTGCCCCAGACAACGTTATTTACTTCTCCATATTAGCATGGGTCATGTGGGTTCCCGGCATTCGGCAAGGTCTAAGATCGACTCGAAAAATTTTAATTCATTACGCACTGTTGACTGATTTTACACGACATTAGGCTAGACCAGTTTAAGCTCTGTTTAATGAAGTTCAAATGGAATTTCAACGAAACAAAATCAGGCGTTGAAGTAGAAAATAACCCAAATTCCAACTAAAACTAATCGAGTCCAGCAGCTGACCAAAAATAGCTTCGGTATTCAGAAAACGATCGGCAGGCAGAAAATGAATGAAGACCACAGAGGGTGAGAGAGAGTAAAGCGTACGTGGGAAGACGTGGTGAGCGAAGTCGACAGCGTGGACAGGAGCCAAGGGGCAAGAGTGGGGGTCGACGAAGAAAGAAAAGGCGTCGAACGGTTGAGCTGCAGCTGCGACTGCAGCCGCCGTCTTCTTGCTAAGCCGTCGCGGCGGCGCCGCCGCCGCCTGATCCAGAAACGGCGCCGACGGAAAAGAGCCGAGGCACACAACGGCACCGCCGCAATGTGGCCCGCAGACTCCACCGCGCGGTGCAGGCTCCGGAGGCGACATCTGCCGCCTACCGCCTTCAATCAACGCATTTTTCGGCGTTCAGTATTCGAAAGAATTTCAACATGAACGCATTTCCATAGAAATTAAACACACAACACGCATACATGCGCACACAGAGATGGACAAACAATCTTGCACCACCAGCAAAGAAATTTGCTTCACAAAAACTGAAAACTAAGATCCTGAATTTCCAAGTTCAGGATCTACAACAAATAGGTACAGTATTCGCTAACTCACTCATATCTTGCAAACATAAAAATACTTCACACCAGAACTACACAGCGTTTTTCAAGGTTGAAACATGCGTGTATTAAAGCCTTAAACTTCTTTTATTTTTCTTGAATTAAAAAGGAAATGATTTATCAATACCCTATACAGTACAATCATTGAAATGGGGCGCATTGTTTTTCATCAAATCTTCGTACTGCATACGCCGGGAAAAAACTCCAAGCGAAAAATTTGAAGTCGGGCGGATAATTTAGTTCATGCAACCGGACACGTTTAAAAAGCATGAAGTAAAAAAATTACTAGAAGTATCATTGTGAAGGAGCATTCTGGCGCTCACATCCGTGAGCAACAGCTTATTTACTGCGGAAAAGACTACACGTGATCAAATGGAATAACGCGATTTCTTTCCTATACCGTGTAATAATAAAAACGGTTACTCATGCAACAAGGTGATTCTTTGACGAGTGAAAAAAACCTGATATGCGCTGCGGTGAGAAAAGAAAACGATAACCTCTTCATGCTCTCGAACGAGAAAGCAAACAACACGAAACTTTGTAGCAAAATGACTCTAGCTCATGCAGTTTTTCGGTGCATAGCGGTGCAATATCGCCCACAAGGGCGCCGCCATATTCACCCCGATCGCCGCAGAAACCAGCCATTGGCCCAGACGGAGCCATAAACACGTGCTGCAACGGCGGATCTGAATGCCTTGACACCCCATAACCCGCCGCCGCTGCGGCGGTGGCACCACCAATTCCGACCCCATACCAGCCGCCACCGTAAGCGTCGTCCATCGAACTGCCCTTCATAAACGGCGGCCCTGGCGGCAACCTGTACTCTGTCTGCTTCCCGCTACTTCGACGACCGGGTTTTTTGGCCAATGGGGACACGCCTTTGGTTTTCTTTTTTGGGAATCCGAATTGATGCAGCTGTTGCTGCTGTTCGAGAGACACGGGAGACACGTGGTAGTGGAGCTCCACGTTGGACCCGCAGGCAGACATCGTGGACGGCGGCGGCATCGAGGGCAGCGGTGGTGGCACCGGCGACGTTCCGGCAGGCATGAAGTAAGGAGGCGGCGGTCCTACACCACTTCCATGAACGCCTTTTCCAATTTCAGTAATATTTCCCCACAAACACCATCGCAGCATAAATCAAAAATTCTTCCCGTCATTTCAAAAACAACCCGATACAAACGTCCACTCGAACAAAACAGAAAAACATTGCGATAGCCACAACTCAAATCAGTCTCGTACGCAATAGCGCAGATCAGAGGGGAATCTCATTCCAAATATTTCTCTAGAATCATCGATACCTCTCATAGGCAAATGAATTTGAAAAACAACGAATAACACGAACATAGAACGAGAAAAGCGAAATTCCACATAATAGAACTCAGATGAATCAATTTTCAATTAACATAGGCATAATCCGTCTGAATCAATGGTCAGATTAAAAGCGTTTAATCCGGCAACTTAGTTCAATCATTAGTTGAACATTGTTCAACAAGGTCAATCCATCACAAGTTATCTTCCCGACGATTTACTCACAAGAATAGTACCGTCAGAAAGCTTTTCGATTAAAAAAAAAACCATAGTGACCAATTAACTGGGCTTCTTCAGAGTCACAACTTTTCTGACACTAAGGTCAAGCATACCGCAAAGGCAATTTAGCTTCCAATTTAAAATACATCACAACGATGTCAATTAAGCAGATAATCTCACCTTGAGCTCGACGTCGTCCCTTAATTTGACTTGGCTTCACCAAGTGCTCGCCGCCATTTTCTCGGGTCGGAGAAGACACTCGGGCTCCCCCGATACCCACGTCCACCTCACTGTCGTCACTAGCCATGTAAGGGGACCCGGTCTCATCCAATTCGTCGCCTGGAGACACCTCACCCGCTGGAAGTCGCTCGTAAATGGACTCAGAACCCACGCTTCTGCAATTGGGATAAGACAAAAATCACTGAAGAGAACATCACGGGCAGAAACACGTATACAAGTAGGCGGTCGCTATCATCACAGCTTTCCTCATTTTTCAAAATATAAAAAATAATGACACGCGAAACTAAGACGGCCGACGTACAATTCCTTGCAATCCTCGTAGAAGCACTATAGACAACTTCCGCAAAAACTTTTTCACTGTCCGTACTGGCCATTCCCATGAAACTATAACCATAGAACTGAAAAAAAATCAAAAGATAATGGAATAAGTGTGCGCTGAAACCGTTCAGGAGATACACACGATGCAACAGGAAATTTGTAAATGCAGCGATTTTTCCCTGCGTCAAATCATTGATTGATTAAAAAAATCCAATTTCCTCCTAATTCTAATGGGGATGATTGAAAAATGGAAGAGAGGACATTTCCTGTCAAGGCGCTGTATATCCTGCAAAAACATCTTTCCTTACAACGGGCGTACGATGAGGTTTGAGGGCATAGCCAGGAAAAAATAAGGCATTCAACACTTAATCCAGCATCTGTATTCTGGTAATGCATTCGGAACATTTCAGAACAGATCATTTTAAAAATCTCAACATCGGCTCGACATATTCCTTCGAAAAGAAAAATAGCTCAACTCGGACTTGAGTAACCAAGTCTTGCCTAGAATCCGCAACAGAAGAATTTTAAAATAAAAGAGCCGGACTACTTTCACAGCACTTCCACGGTTAGTTGAAATTTGGTTCACTTTCCTGGTACAAACCAGCAATTTTTCTTCGATTTATAATCAGAGAATCTCCAAAAGAAAAATTAACTGATACTGACCAGATGGGGATAAGACAAAAATTGGATACAAAGAGCTATTCGCGTTTTCGTCCAAAAGCTAGTCACGGAATCCACGCTTTTCCTCATCCGGACAATTAGCCAGATGATAACTACAGTCAAGGCGAGGACGTCAGACTCAAATTTTCAACATTAATATCATATAAATTGATAGAAAATGCCAAGATTCACTAGCAAAACGAGCACTTCCAATCCGAGAGTGAACAAAACGAATCGAGTTTCTTGGAACCATTACTTAATTTCATAGGATATAATTATCTTGGATTGGAGACAATCTTTGTGGCATGGGACCAGAGAAATGCTGGACCAACGACGGAACTACAGTATACGTACAGAATAATACCGATTGAAAAAAGCAATGGCAATGAGTCTCGGAAGTTGGAACTGATCTGTGTTGATCACATTTCATAAAAATTTTCGAAGGATGAACAATGAATAAATTCAACGACTGAATTCGGAAAAGATTTCAATGGTTATGCAAGAAAATCTTCCCCGCCCAAAATTCGAGTCCCGGGAGTACGAGGTAGTTGAAAAAAAAAAGAATTGAAAATCATGACAGCATCAAACAGCGATGAATTTAAACCGGCCGCTTTGTTTCCACTAAAATATAGTTCATCGATAACACGAATAACGGAAGCCCAGATAATGGGAAGCCTCACTAAACAGTTCATGCAAGTGGAAATCATCGAATATCTTTTAGTCTAACACTGTTCTTGAACCCCACAAATTTAACGCTTTCTACGCTAAAATGAATCATTCATCAATGAAAAATCTATCCACACAAGTCCGACAATAAGAAAAATCATATCTCTGCAACTATTTCAAGTAGGAAAAATCTTCGCCACGGTACAGGAATACAGTAGAATCTCGGTACGATATTTTATTTTTGTGTCTCCTCGTTCAATAGTCATGATATTTTATTTCGTTTTAACGAAGCTTTTTCAAGGTCCCAAACGTTTCGTTGTAACGAGATTCCGTTGCATAAAATCGTTAAAATAAAATCCTCCGAGACAATCCAAATGAGGGAAAAGAACAAGCTAGCGAGGCTTCAAGAAAACTCTGAGCAAAAGCCGAAGCAGAGAAATGAGCTCCGCTAGCGAAAATAAATTCTCTCCCCCCCACCCCCAACAGGCCTCTGCTCAAATATTACGTGGTTAGCAAACAACATTCCATTTAAAACAAATGCGCCACCGATAATATTTCAAGAGGGCCGGCATGCATGGCGGCAATATGCTCGCTCACCGAAGGAAAAAAAAAATCTCACGAGAATTAATTACGTAGTGAGCGTGTGACGAAAACGCTTGAAACCCAACGTCGTTCGTGAATTAACAGCAGTAAACGTTTCGCTTAAAAAAAAAGAAGCACAAAAACTGAATTCGTAATCTCGAGTTTTCACAACCGTGGATTCGATTCCCACTGGCTTGATCCCGAGTTTCTCGCTGGGTGGGCTCGAAGAAACAACCGTATCAGCTCAATTCGTTACACTGCGGTAAAACCAGCGGAGATCCCACCATTGGCATTCAGCAAATGAACAAGAAACCACAGCCCAAAATACAGCGGGGTCCCGACATGCGGAAGATTCGACTTCGGGACACTTGATAAAAAAAAAAAATCTGCCCTGACATATACGTCTCGTGATACGGACAATAACATTTCTAGAAAATTGAACATTTTGATTTCTCTGAAATGGGATACCTTGGAACAAATTTAAGCTTTGTCTATTCACAACGATTAAAAAATTTATGTTACTCGTTGTGAATTAATTAGTTAATTCATTTCATCATAAATTTAATTTGGTGTTTCATTTTTTCGGAGTACTTTCCATCATCTGAGCACAGTACTGTATATGAAAATTGTTGCTTATTCTTTGCTTTTTGGGCGTTTTTATACGCCAAAAGATCAGATTATGCGTCAATTTCGACTTCACAGTAATTCTTCGGGATCTTCAAGTTGAGAAAAATATTCTTATTCAATTTTTGAGGGACTTTTTCCTAATGTTTGCTCAAAAGGTGAACCAATAAACTACATTCCCCTTCAAGTCTGAAGGAGAACGTGATTCGACATGCGGACACTTCGACATAGGGGCCACGTCCAAACTCCAATTACGTCCGCATCTCGGAGTCCCAGTGTATTTCAATCGTATCACGCGAAAAAAATGTTTCCCAACTCAACCCATCAAAATTCGTTCCCATCAAGTCTAGAGTAACAAAATTCGCAATACAAAGCGCGATGCTTTATTTCGAATAATAAACCATGTCAACATGCACACTCGAGGAGATTGCAGATTGTCGAAGTATTGTACTGTATTTCTAAGATGTCCAAGGCATATCAGTTCACCATTAAATTGAAACTTCAATAAGCTGTTCGCTTTTCCACCAACCAACAAACAACTCGTTTTCATCATCAACCTCAACATCGCTCCTTTTAATGTACTTGGATTTTTCACCAAGAATAATTCAACAAAAAAACATGTTCACAATTACGCAAAATTAGCTTGAATATTCTCAGAATCTTCCAAGATTTGCGTAAAACTGACAACGAAACTAGTCAAACACAGAGAGCAGTTCATTCTGAACTGCGAAATTTCGCTTCGCCACCTACAACCAACTACTCGAACAAAACTCGTTCTCGTCAGCCAAAAAATAGGTGATGCTTCACTACGGATAAGAAACCATGTCAACACGTAATAGTGTAATACGGAACGAGAACTTCGACAGCTGTTCGTTCGACTGAGCGGGGGAAAAAATAGCATCGACGCGAGNAAACCCAACGTCGTTCGTGAATTAACAGCAGTAAACGTTTCGCTTTAAAAAAAAAAGAAGCACAAAAACTGAATTCGTAATCTCGAGTTTTCACAACCGTGGATTCGATTCCCACTGGCTTGATCCCGAGTTTCTCGCTGGGTGGGCTCGAAGAAACAACCGTATCAGCTCAATTCGTTACACTGCGGTAAAACCAGCGGAGATCCCACCATTGGCATTCAGCAAATGAACAAGAAACCACAGCCCAAAATACAGCGGGGTCCCGACATGCGGAAGATTCGGCTTCGGGACACTTGAAACAACAAAAAATCTGCCCCGACATTTATGTCTTGCGATAGGGACAATAACATTTTCAGAAAATTGAATGTTTTTATTTCTCTGAAATGTGATAGCTTGGAACAAATTTAAGCTTTTTCTATTCACAACGATTAAAAAGTTTATGTTACTCGCTGTGAATTTAGTTAATTTATTTCATCATGAATTCAATTTGGTGTTTCATTTTTTCGAAGTTCTTTCCATCATCTGTGCACAGCACTGTACAGAAAAATTGTTGATCTTTTGGCCTTCCCATGCCAAAAATATCAGATTATGCGTCAATTTCCACTGCACTGTTATTCTTCGGGATCTTCAAATTGAGAAAAATAGTTGTATTCAAGTTTTGAGGGACTTTTTCCTAATGTTCGCTCAAAAGGTGAACCCATACACTACATTCCCCTTCAAGTCTGAAGGAAAACGTGATTCGACATGCGGACACTTCGACATAGGGGCCACGTCCAAACTCCAATTACGTCGCATCTCGGAGTCCCTGTGTATTTCAATGGTAACACGCGAAAAAAAATGTTTCCCAACCCAACCCCAAAATGCGTTCCCATCAAGCCTAGAGTAACAAAATTCGCAATTAATAAACCATGTCAAAAAGCACACTCGAGTAAATTAGAGATTGTCAAGTATTTCTAAGATGTCCAAAGCATATCAGTTCACCATTAAATTGAAACTTCAATAAGCTGTTCGCTTTTCCACCAACCAACAAACAACTCGTTTTCACCATCAACCTCAACATCCCTTTTTTCAATGTACTGTACTTTAATTTTTTACCAGGAATAATTCAATAAAAAAACATGTTCACAATTACGCAAAATTAGCTTGAATATTCTCCGAATCTTCCAAGATTTGCGTAAGATTGTCTCCGAAACTAGTCAAACACAGTGAGCAGTTCATTCTGAACTGCAAAATTTCGCTTCGCCACCTACAACCAACTACTCGAACAAAACTGGTTCTCGTCGCGGTTTTTTATCCACTACGAAGTGATGCCTATTCTTTGGTACAGTTGTGCATTATCACATTATGCCTTGCTCTTGAAGCTGTCGACAAGCAAGCTGACTCGCCCCCTTTTTTATCGTAGCTGCGCTCACTTGATTGAAATCCCCCAGACTGATGAAGCCAGATGCGTGAAACGCGCACATGTGGCCTGCACTAAGTGGAAAAAATGGTTCCGCGGATCGAGTAAAAATACAAAGGAGAAAAAAAGTGTGCCGATAACGAGGAGAAATTCGGTGAGCATCGAGTGGACTGTAACTGGAAGTATGATTCACTTCCCTGGTAAGTACAGTAATTGTTGCGAACTGGGAATTGGTCGGAAGCATTTGAAAAAAAAGGACCACCGAAGGAAGTCTTTTTCCAATCTTGGGGGCATGTCAGATTAGCACAAATTAAATCCGGAAAGATTTGGGTACCTGGCGTATAGATTACGTCGAGTAATCTAGAATTCACACAAAATGAATAATCGGAGAAAAGCTATCAGCCACAGAAAATCTGCGTTCAGTAACCGAATACACACATATACTCAGATCGGCTCAAAGCTTCAAGCCAATACTACTGAAACTTCTCAACACATGGTGATAAAACTTTCTCAACTACAACATGAAAATGACGAGATTCGACGGAGGACAGTGAAACCATTACGTTCTGTAGAAGATCGCCTGGATTAACTGCAAGAATAAATAGTCAAAGCAAGTTGAAAAAATTTTCCTCGCCATGCACGTTAGGTAACAAGGTACTGTACACTAGTTTCACCCTTGAAGCTAAAACTTGTTTTGAATGATTAAAACAGCTCATCATGTCGGGTCAAGATAGTCACGCGATTAGCGTAAGTTTAACCGGTGAAGCTCTCATTTGAAGACTGATTTTTTTTTTTTTAGAACAAAAGCTTTAAATATGGAATGAAATCACTCCTCGAGAATCTGAATCAATTTTCTTCACTGAAGATGCAACGATATCTTTTATGAACAAGAACTCGGCAGGTACCGCATTTACGTGATTATACATCTGTAGGATTCGAGAAAAATTGACGGATTTTTTGACTGGTGGGTGACTGTCACGGGCCGGACAGGAGTGCTCCGCGGGCCAGATGTGGCCCGCGGGCCGTATCTTGGGCACCCCTGCACTAGACTCTGTACAACGCTTTTGTCAACAAGTATTCAATACCTTGAGTGCAGTTGCTCAAAAGAGGCCCATGTTTCAATTTCCCCAAGCTTAGACATTATTAACTCATTACCTGCCGTGAGCTCTATTTGGGACTCAGGTGGTTTTTGACCCCCCAAAAATACCATCAAAACAAAAATTATGTAAAAATATGTGGAGGCTCTACAGTGAGGTTATCTACAATTCAAGACCTCATTTGCCTCTTTTCATTCATTTTTCAGTTTACAGCAATATGTTTTTTGAAGCCAACCTTCAAATTCCATTGGGAAGTTAAAACATGATTTTTGGAATGCAAGAAAAGTATTTTCTACAGTTTCTAGTGCAGATAAATTCAAAATTTTGTATGTCTTTGTAGCCTGTCGTTATTTCTCAATGCTTTGGCATATTTTATTTAATTTTCTGAAATTTTATAAATTACAAGTGCAAGAACCTTGATCCCCAAATGGGGCTCATGGCAGTTCGGGCGTAAAAAATAATTTTCAAATTTTTGTGAAAATGTGTCCAAAAATTCCATATCTTGAATAAATCTAACTGCTGGGTTGAGCACAAAAAAGTTATGATAAAGACATGTTAAACAAAATCTATTTGATTTTAAATCAATTTTTTCTGTAATTGTAAATTTGTAATAAATATAATTTTTGTGATAAAATTTTTTGAAGATACCCCTAAGCTTTTGAACTTCATCTCACACTTGAAAAATACTAGCAAATTACTTGGTGTACAGCCTGGATGATTTTCAATGAATTTTGTAGCTTTTACAAAAAAAATAATTTAGAAATATTTGTAAAATCATAAAAAAATATTTATGAATTTCATTCCTTATGGCATTCTGGCATTTTAAATGGATCAGAAGATATGTTTGCACTCACATTTAGCATAACATAATACAATTTAGCCAAAAAAATTGTTTTCCAATTTATAAAAGATTTTTCTTATTAGTATAAAGGGAGATGGGACCTGCCATGAGCCTCATTTGAGGATCAAACTTAAAATTCAAATATTTGAAAAAATTTTGAATTTAAAAATTAGAAAAAATGTCCCCAGCCTATCTACATGTACATGAAGTGAAATGACAAAAATGGGCATGCAGGAAATTTGGCAGTTAATGGGTTAAAGATCTTCAGCACAATTTCCTTCTTAAAAAAAATAAAATAAAAATTGCACCATAAAATGTCGGACCAACGGTGTTCCTTCAAGAAAGAATACTCAAAATTCAACTCACCCGTCAGCAGATCCCGCCCGGTGCTGATAATGCGAATGGTGTCCATGGTGCGATTGCTGGAACGGGAAACTCGCGACGTGACGTAAATGCGGCATGTTCTTGAGTCTCGGAAACGACGACTTCTTGATGCGATCGGAGCGCTCCATGGTACCTTCGCCGCTGTCGATGCCCTCCACGTCATCCCCGGTATCTGCTCCACCCATGGTGAAGTGGTAACCGATGCCCAACCCGCCACGTTCCGCCATTTGCTTCAGAGCCTGTTCAATCTCGGGCTTCTTTTCCCAGACTTCTTTGAAGAAGGGGATATAATACGCAGCTAAGGAGATCAAAAATTGATTAGAAGAATGAACGGAGAACAAGAAAATATACGGAAGTTGGGATTACAAATTAAAGAATGACTCACTTTCTTGTTGGCACGAAGGTGTGGAGGTCATGAAATGAGCTTGCAAACGATCAGCTATGGCGTTGCCTTGGGCAATCAAGGCGTGATTGAACTCTATAGTTTGATACGTCGGGTTCCCTCCAGCTCCTGAATCCGTGATCCCCACAATTTGTATCGGCATACCAGCTACGTTACTTGAAAAAGCGCTGGAGAACGGAACAGAAAGCAAACCACATTCTCATCCGCTCAGAATCGTAAAACAATCTCCACAGAAATATTTAAATGTGCTTCTACAACTTTTACTCAGGTTTCAAAACTGACTCAACGCGATCATAAGGTATCTTCTGAGACTTTCAATTCAATTTTTGCACGAAAATTCAACATTTCTTCTGCTTCCCCAGATATTTTTGGGCAGATATCGCCTCAATTATTGATACTCCATGATAATGTATTATCCGAATTCCACATTTCTTGGCCTGATATAAGCCATTCTATTTTGGAATCAACTCATGTAGCTTCAATACTTCACTCAACATAGACGAACTTGAATTTGCACCTCGAGAATCATCACTAAATCAGAGTTGTTGGATCAGGGACAGAACTGGATTCAAAATTAGAAAAGATTCCCGTTGTAGTGATTGGGCTGAAAAAACATTGAATGGGAATGATTCCTGCGATGAAATACAGTAGCGCTAGACTTTTTACGACAATGCACTTTTTATCTGAGACCTTTGTCGACGAAGTGCCACGAACATAAATTAAATTCAACAATTACAAAAGCTGGATACGAGGGTTGGAATTTCCGTGTTGTTTTGACCAACAATATCTAAATCAGAGAAAATGTAATGGGCAAAACAAAACAAATTAAATTTTTCAGCTGGCCGAAAATTTTTTCGCACCCCGTGACATGGAAGGAGAACTCTGGTCGTAACTGGTAAGTTTTCACTCAACAATCATGCAGTGAATTCTAAAATTTCATTAAAAATCCGAAAAAAAAAACCTAGAACCTTAGAACATCATGGGCGATTTCATATTTTTTTCATCAACAGTCATAACTACTCAAGAAATAACGAAGGTCGCGCCCAAGTGGGACAGCCCACTTATATTCAATATGGCATATTGGAAAATTATCTCAATCAGGTACTTCGTAGCCTTTCCGAAGATCAAATAAAGCGCTGTAATGCACCTTGGCAGATGCGGCGACAAAACTCACTTCATGGTAGAAAGAGATGCCCGTCGTTTCGTGGAATACACGAGGATGAACCCGTGCACAAGCTCGTCCTTGAACACGCCGGCTCCGTGGTAAGACGAAAAGGTGACTTCCACGGTTCGCTTTGAGTCGCCCAACGGCAGCTCGATCACCACAGACCGCTCCGACCGCACCGCCGACAGCGGCACAGGTCCCAACGGCGACCCCAACGGTGACGGATCCAGTAGCGGCGCCAGCACCGTGTCCACCGAATAGGGATCCCCGCACAGCATGCACAGTATCACCCTGGAATACACAGTCAAAAATCAGCTTCGATCCTCGAACAAACCTCATGACAATGAAAACCCAGAAAAACGAACTAATCTCGCACAAGAGACGAATGACGAAACGTTTATACATTCCGCAAAATTTTCTGGATTCCAGACTTTCCGTTGAACAATAGAAGAGGGAAATTTTCGGACAACGTTTTACGACATGCTTAAAAATAATGCACCGCAATACTGAATCACTATACGTAATTAAAACGCAAAAATTACGGTTGAAAAGTCACGTCATTCCCAATTTTTATGAATGGTGCTCATTAAAAAAATGTTTCGCGTCAAGAATTATAAAAAGCATCTAATATTCCAATCTTGGGAGAATCTCTCAAGCCCTGGTAATATCAACAAGACAAAGTAGGCTTCAGTTATTCAGCACAGTTTTCAGAAGATGCAAGCTTGGCAGATAATGTGACCTTAATTTCCTCAAAACACTGATGTAATGCACGTTCAATGTTTTGATCCATTTTAACTAAGTGTGTGTAGGAAATCGTTAGATATTACTGAGATGAATGAAGTCTGATCTTCCATCTAACCAGATTTAAACAAAGGATACACAAGACTCAAAATTATAAAAGAAGTCAAACATAATCACAACATTCGAAAGAGCGTCCATCTAAGCTGCCAATTTCACCTTAAGAAACAATAAAAGAAAAAGACTTCACGCAAAACTGCTCAGGTTAGCGGATATGGAAGAAAAAATCCGAACGTGACAAAGCCGGCGGTGCTAATATCAAGTGAACGTAAAGAAGAAAAAAAGGAGGAGCAAAACTTACCGGATATCAGGCTGAATAACCCCAGAAAGGGTCTGGTAACCGGAAGCCGTTTGTGATTTAGCATCGGGAGAGACCGGGTCCGGCCCTCCCGCACTCTGACTAGCAGCCCCTAGCACACCCTGGCCTAGCATGGCCACGGCCGCAGACTTGCGCTGGTCCCTGATGGCCCCACACAGTGCCCGCAGCCCCTCGTTGACTAGCTCCGTATGCACCCGCCGGCCTGGAATCGGCGCCTCGCAGTCCACGTCCACCAGATCGCATTGCAAACTGTTCCGTATAAAGGAAATGGGAACTTATCTATCGGTAACTAAACATAATGTTTTAATTCTTAAAAAAAATCGAATTCTTGATTTTACAAAGACAGCCGAAAAAAAATAATACGTGAAACTAAATCGACACAGAATATAATATATATACTGTATATATATATATACAAGAATATATATATACTCTTGTAGACTTATAATTAGATACAATTTACAGTAAACATGTTTGAGAAATTTGGGGAATTATTTCCGTTGATCTGATGTATGGTTGATCACTTTATTTACCCCAGCTCAACTACTCATAAAAATGAGAGGAAATGTCTGCTTTATGACATCTGAAGTCAAAAACAGCCTCGCTGGCCATGCAAACCAGATTAGGATGAATAGAGTTGTCGCTTGAGACTCTTGGCCCTTCTTTTTGCAAGGTATGGTCATGTCGGTCCTTCCCGATAATTACATAACATATCCGCAACGTTCGACGAAATTTTCCAGGGTGCTTCACCCCGAAAAAATTAGGAGTTTCCTCAAGTTTCAACAAAAACTCATCTACACAATTTTAAGGTAGATTTCCCGAGGTAACCTGGGGAACTATTCAATTTTCGGATCGAAGAAAAAAAAAACAATGTACACTGAAAAAATGGATCAACGTCAAACCAAGTCCTCGTTTCAGCCTCCTATTCCCAAGTACGTGATGAACCTCATATTTCTCGCGCTACAGTGAAATTTAAATTCAGATGTCCGTATGCATTTTTCCTTTCAACAAGAACCGGACAGGTCGTGTTTTGCTTCTCATAATCATACGTACAGGTGTCCGGCGATTTCTGATCTTTCATTAGCTTCTTAAACTTGAGTATATCTTGATTGCACATGAATTTTCAAGCAATATTCAATTCATCCGAGTGGGAAAAAATTGGCTCAAATTAAATTTAATCATGCAGGCCACTTCTTTGATCAACTCAAACTTTCTTTTGATAAATTCATTATGCTGAAGCAGATTTCACTCGGAAAGGCAAAAAATTCTGCGGACTGGCACCTGTCCGCGGACCACGGGTTGCAGACCCCTGCTCCAGACGGAGCCCTATACAGCGCAAAGGAAAGAATACAAAATGGTCACCTTTGAGCAAGACTATGTGGGAGGAGCTCGTTTTCGTTAGCGACCAGGAGCCCGTCCCGGCCCAGCGGCCGCTTCTCATAGTGCTAGCCGTTCGTCCTTAACTTACGGCTCGGTCACGAGCGGAGGTCCAAGCTGTTGTTGCAAAGCTCCACACTCGCTCGCACATACTCAAGCGTAGCGGCACTTGAGTAAGCGCAAATGATGCCGTGCGGATTGAAATCAGGCGTCCGAATGGCATTTTGGCTCAGACTAACGTCTCCGTGGATCAATTTGTAGTCCAAGCTGAAAGTTTCCCCATCCAGCTCGTAAAGATCATCCGTGCATTGACCCTGAATGGATTATCATCAAGCATTATTACACAAGACAATTACACAGTGATTCACATCAATACTTGGAATNTAACGTCCCCGTGGATCAATTTGTAGTCCAAGCTGAAAGTTTCCCCATCCAGCTCGTAAAGATCATCCGTGCATTGACCCTGAATGGATTATCATCAAGCATTATTACACAAGACAATTACACAGTGATTCACATCAATACTTGGAATCGAGAAACAAATCTCTCGCTTTCCAGACTCGCCCTCAATGAATGAAGCTATGAAAATGATACACTAATACTCAGCCGCATTTGTATATACCGGTACTCGAGTATCACGTGCCCCAATTTTTGATGAAATCATATTCCCCGAGTAAGACGCGCACCCCATTTTCAGTGACTGAAAAACTACAATATTTCCAAAATAAGGCATGTATTCAAATTTTAAATGAATTCAAACTGAATTCGAATAACCCAATTGTTTCGATTTTTAAAATTTCTGTACGAAAATCTTCCATTATACAGTATCCAAGTGTGGTGCGCACCTAAGCACCACGCCTATGACAGGCACCCCCTTTTTCCCCTCTCGATTTCGATGAAAAAAAGGTGCGCGTGGTACTCGAGTACATACTCTGGGTACAGTACATGGAAAAAGTTCTTTACCCTTATCGATGAAGCGAGTTCATCAGCTAAACCGGCGCTTCCTAAAACAGCCAAATTGAGATGGTACGGATCTTCGTCCGATTGTTCCCCGGAATTCCATGGGCTATTGTAGTCCAAGCTGAAAGTTTCCCCATCCAGCTCGTAAAGATCATCCGTGCATTGACCCTGAATGGATTATCATCAAGCATTATTACACAAGACAATTACACAGTGATTCACATCAATACTTGGAATTGAGAAACAAATCTCACGCTTTCCAGACTCGCCCTCAATGAATGAAGCTATGAAAATGATACACTAATACTCAGCCGCATTTGTATATACCGGTACTCGAGTATCACGTGCCCCAATTTTTCACTCACAATTTTTGATGAAATCATATTCCCCGAGTAAGACGCGCACCCCATTTTCAGTGACTGAAAAACTACAACATTTCCAAAATAAGGCATGTATTCAAATTTTAAATGAATTCAAACTGAATTCGAATGACCCAATTGTTTCGATTTTTTAAAATTTCTGCACGAAAATCTTCCATTATACAGTATTCAAGTGTGGTGCGCACCTAAGCACCACTTCTATGACGGGCACCCCCTTTTTCCCCTCTCGATTTCGATGAAAAAAAGGTGCGCGTGGTACTCGAGTAAATACTCTGGGTACAATACATGGAAAAAGTTCTTTACCCTTATCGATGAAGCGAGTTCATCAGCTAAACCGGCGCTTCCTAAAACAGCCAAATTGAGATGGTACGGATCTTCGTCCGATTGTTCCCCGGAATTCCATGGGCTACTGAGACCCCAGGTGGTATTTTGGTCTGTCAGACTTCCAGTGCTCTTGGCCACGGTCGGCTTCCCGGGACCATTTGCCCAACTTGATGACCTACTGATCGATACAAAAAAATATGTAACATACATTCAATGGAAAAGATAGCGATCAGGACTGCAGATATACCGGTACATCAATTTCACTCTAACTACCGTATTTACGTAAATATATGAGCCGCACATTTCGAGATACAACTTTCATTAACGTTTCGAACGAAAACGAACTCGCAGATGAAAAAGCACAAATACATAAAGTTCCTTGCTCCCAATTACGCCAGAAACTCTGAAGAACAGAACAGAGCACATATACAAAATGAGAATCTCTCCTTGAACAAAAAGCGCCGCAATGGCAATTTTCAACTACAGATACTGTATTGTGAGGAATATTGATATGTTCTCCCATGCGAAATAAGCTTACGCGTCATCAATTTCGTGTAAGCGAAAATATTGACATAAAACTTTCATACGCTTTCATGCATTTGCTTTTCATTACTTCTGTTTTCTTCATTTCATTCAGGACATTCTATAACTTGAATACTTTCATTTAAAAAAAAATTTTCTCAAGTTAAAATTTGAGACTTTACGTGGTATGGTGAAGTGATGAAAAAAAATTGAGATTAATTTTTGGCCGAGTGGTAATGAAATAAATAGAAGCACACCTATTTTTTAGCCGTGACCTCAAGGAAGCCTCCACCAACGAGTCAATGCAGTTGGGGAAAGCAGGGCAATGTTCCCTGATGGGTGAGTGCACGAAGCCCAAGTGCCGGAACAGCATAACTTCCCGTTGCTGCTCCAGTCGGTCCAAAGCTTTATACCGCGAATCCTCTTGCAAAACTTCCACGATTTCCCGCCGTATGTCATCATGCGTCACTGACGATGACCCTCCACTTCCGGTTGTGCTGATTCCACTCGTCCCCGTCGGGCTTTGCTGACATAGACTCCGGAAGTTGTAGAACAAATCCGCATGTTCCAGCAGTAATTCCTATGCACGAGGATCCGAAATAATGGTTAATGGGAAGCATTTGCGACAGAGTGATAAGTATAGACTCAAGTTGATTCGAGGGCCAATTGAACAATTGACTTTGAACAATTTATGGCGGAGCTCCTCCGGGTAATTTTGAAAATGGTGTGGATTTCCAAAAATCTAAATTCAGCCCTTATATGCGTTTCAATTGGGTTTAATGATGCAACATTCCTCTCTTTTTCCCATAAACCTGATTTTATTATTTCAAGGTTTACATAGAGCAGCTATAATATCTAATCCTGTCGAATTTCATTTGAGAATGAAATAAAATAAAAAAGAACCTGGAAGTTTATTTTGGCGCGTTCCGTGATTTCGAACTGATGCCACTTGTAAATTTCCTGAGCATCAGCCGGCGAAAGAGCCTCAAAGCAATCCCGTCCAAGCAACAAAACCCGGACTTCACTCAAGGTCTTTCCGGGTGTGATGAAACCATTCTCCTCCAAAACTCTCTTGAACTCCTCTTTCATACTGCGGATAAAAAAAAATACTCATGACCATTAAATGTACGGAGAGATTTCACGCGAGGAGAACTCACTCCAAACGACGCTGATCTGCCTGCAAAGCATTCATATGGTTTCTGAATACCGTATTCGCTTCTGTCAATTCCAGAAGATCAAACGGAATGCGGATGTCCGTGGTTTCAATCAACACTGAATCGTCAAGGGGGGCGTCCACGAAGTAGCGATCAAAATCTGGATGATCTCTTATTTGGTCTCGGATCACATCCCAATTTCTGCGGTTAAGGAAAACCAAGATCAATCCCAAAAATAAAAAAAATATAAATATCGGAATATGCACAAGCATCTTAAACGAAGAAACAATTTTAAACATGAAAGGATTTGTCACGATCTGTCTTGAGTTAACCTGGACTTTTAACCACTGAACGAAGTTACGAAGAAAAAACGACCTTTTCGGCAGTAAAACCAGAATATGTACCACAATTTCGGCTGACTTCTTAAAAAAGTGCTCTAGTTACAAGGATTAGTTTAAAAGTGCTGTCAATCTTATACTTCTCTAACTCAACTTTTTTCGAATGGATTATGGAGACCGTGATAACTAAAATTTCCTCACTACTGTTCCAGTTCGGGCTCACCCAGGTTGAAATAATTGTAGATCAATTTAATTTGCCATGCCCTCACATATGAATTTTCAGGAAGACAAGTTCTTGAAGCTATTTTATCCCGAACACCGTAGGAATATTCTAATGCCATAGATCTGACAGCAATGTTTCCACAAGAAAAAAAAAAGTTCTGAACAACGTATTTGCGCTAGTGACGCTCAATGAGAAATTTACCCAGAAATGCAAAGGAAAATGTTTCTCCAATGAAGGCTGATTATTAAAAAATAAAAATAAGCTTGACTCAAGTCAAGTTTTTCCACAATGATTCGACAATTTCGAGGATTCCGGTACGGATACTGCAATTGAGTTACCGGAGAACTCAATTTCAAAGGACTGACAACACTTTTAAATCACCTCAAATAAACAGCTAAGAAATATAGATAGATGAAAAGACAGATTACTTACGTAGTCACAATCGAGTCTAACTCTGGATAAAACTCCAAGAAAACTTGAGGCAGAAGGTCCAAGTAGCCCTGCAGCTTCCGGCTGACGCAGTCCTCCTTGAGCTTATTGATGTGTCTCCGAAAGAAGAGACGCGCATTCTCCTCCCCGAATACTTCACAGTACCGGAGAAATTCTGAAAACTGCTCAAACTTCTTGACACACATGTCCCAGGTTGCACGAAAGTCTCCAACTTGAGAGCGTAAAAGTATTCGAAAGCCTTCCCTAACTACAGACTCCGCCTCTTTCTTCAGTCTTGACGCCTGTAAAAAAAAAGAACGGGTCGTTTCAATGGAACCCATAAAAACACAAAGGATTTAAACTGGGAAATTGAAAAGCTGAACGGCATGAAAAGGCCATAATTTTTTCTCGCGGCGAAAAACGAACTTTTGACACTCGGAAAATTGACACTTTCACCCGGGATGTAGGGCACCAACCAGAATGAACTAAGGTACTCGAGAACTGGCTTTCTCTTCGTTTGTAATGGGTTGCTCACTTTTTCCAACCCCAGTAGATAATGTAGGTAACACAGCTCCTACGCTGCATATGCGAATACAGTACTGTAATGTGGTGAATTCCAAGAAATTTAAAACTGCGGAACGAACGGCCGAACAGTGGCTTTAAAATGAGGATTTCGAGTTCCCAGACATTCTCAATTTCAGCACTTCTCATTTTCAGCACACGATATTTTTCAGCTTTCACTTTCACCTTGGTGGGACCACAGGTACGGATGCAGGGAAATACGGACAACTCGCCTTAGGGAAACTTGAAACTAAGAAAAAAATCTGCCCCAACCTCCACACAATAAGTCTCGAGATCTGTAATCATCCTACATTATTAGAAAAACGGGAAATTCAAAAAATTGAGTTCTCGAACGAATTCAGCTGGTAATTATAAACGAATTATAACGAACGAATTATAAATTTAATTTTATTCATACTCCAAAACAGGCTAATTTGTGCTTCTCATTGCAAGATTTTTCTCCCTCATTTTTGTACAGTAGAGAAAAACTTGTGCTTATTCTTTGCTTTTTGTGCTTCTTTTCATGCCAGAAGTGCAGATTGTGTGGCTTTCTTCTGCACAGTTGTTCTCTGTATCTTGCAGTCAAGAAAAACTCAACTCAATTTTGTAGGGACTTTCCATATTCTTCTTTTCACCAGGAGAACCAAATTGAATATGTCTGCATTTAAGTCCATTGGAAAACGTGATCCGACATGCGAGCATTCCGACATAGGGACAAGGTCCAAAAACCAATTACGTCCGCATCGCACGGCCCTACTGTACATCCCTTCAGTCTCTTAACGGGTAGAAGAACATATTCGATGTGCAAATAAACTGACGCAAAATAAACTACGCACCAGTTGCTCAGCTCAAGAAAAGGGACCTAGTTCAAGAAGATAATTTAAAATTAATTCTGAACTTCCCTAATGCAATTTCCGGTTCGTAATTGTAGCCGGTCATGAAAAAAAACTTTCTGAATTTATTTCCAAATAACTAGGAAGTTTTTTTCGTAATTTTGAAAAGATTACCAAAATGAAAGGGAAGTGCAACGATATCTTCCCAGATTGATGAAGACAACCGTGTCTGATTAAATATTTCGAACTTACGTTTGACACTGTGTAAAAAGAATTCACTAACTTCTATCATTTCAATGCAATAAATAACAGTATGATCAGCCATATTTTTCAAGACGGATAACGTTACTTACGGTATGTAATATTTAAAAAATGTAGCCAATAAAAAATTGACCAAAAATTTAAATTCAAAATCATTTTCGTGGGCTGAGTTTCCTTAGAAAAAAAAGACACAGTATAAAGTTTCAAACCTCTTGAAAGGGTAAGACGCGTAACCGATGCCCCTTGTACTTGGTGTCCATCATCTGTGCCAAAAGCAGAAACGCGGCATCCACATTCACGCCTTCATGGGCTGACGTTTCCACGATTGGAATGGTTCCCTTGAACTCCTTTCTAGCCACCAGGCGTTCAGCTTCTCGCATGAGAATATCCGCACCTTCGTCCACTTTGGTGGTGACGAGCACCACCGGTTTCTTAGTCTTGAGAATATTGTTGAGGATGGCGATAGTGAAGTCCACCATCCGATCCATGTTCCGGTTTTGCACCACGCTCACGTCAAAAACGCACACGAATCCGTCGACAAAGAACCGGCCATCGGGCATCAATCGCTGCTCAAATTCCTTTTCCAGGCCGAGTTGGTTCTTGCACACGTACATGAGTTTCTCGGCTGAGGTGAGCTTTGTTGCACAACAGCGTTTGATGTACGGCTCAGTTTTCCCGGCCTTGAATGGCTGAAACGAGGCATCATCTATGAACTCCGTCTGTTCAATCACGTGGAGATTGTAATCCAGGCCTTCCTCCGTCGACTTGGCGATCGAACCCCAATACAGGTAATGGTCATTGTTCACGACCCGACCAGAGAAATCCGACTGTAAAAAGTAATAAATACTGTACATGTACACATTGAGTTCATGCATTAAGCACGGAATTGTAAAATTGCAGTACTGTAGTAGTAAATTTCCATAACACATACAGCAGACCTCCAAGGACCTTCGAAAAGACGTAATTTGATCTGGTGACTGGTTCATTCAGTATCAACTATCAAGGCGTAAAAAAATCAAACACAAATTTACAATTGAGGTGCTCCAAAATAAAACCCTTACGAAGAGATGTGCCCCGGCACTAATTCAAGACAAGGCTTCGAATATTATTCCAAATAAAAAGAGCCTTTCACCTCGTGCATCCCTTAATTTCCACGATGAACATTCTCAAAATTTTCAAAATACAGCACAGTACTTCCCCTCTTCCGAACTCTTCTTGAATTCCTTCCGACGTTACTGTAATTATTAATTCTGGAAAAAGATACTGCACTGTACTTACAAATGTTGAAGCATCCAAAAAAGGTAATAATCTTGATTTAAATTTCAATATTCTCAACTAATAATGAACATGGACTACTCTCATCAGCTTCAGTGCACTGCACGGGTAAAAAATTATTCAAGACTCCATTACTTTAAGGGAAACGGCGAACAATGGGCATGAAGGAAGCACGGTACTCATTCGAATAATCATAAAAACGAAAATTTGGTCGAGTAAACTTCAATTACTGTCTTCTGCAGCCATCTGTGATCAAATATATCATGGCTGTTCGGAAAATGCACTGCGTCGAACATCATCCCTAAGCATGAAAATCCTTTGAGGAAACTTATGCTTGATGCATTACAGTGAGACCCCGACATACGGACGATTCGACTTCGGGAAACTTGAAAAAAAATCTGCCCTGACATCCGGACAATGTCTAGAGACACGGATACTTTTCAAACATTAAAAAAAAAATGTGAACAAATTTAATACTGTAATTAATAGTTTCTGAAAGAATTCAGCTACTTCAGTTTCCAAGATGAAAAAAATTCCTTTATAAAATCGTGCGTGCAAAATATGGCTAGATTATTGCTGGTTCTTTGCTTTTTGAGCTCTTTCTGATGCCAAAAGATAAGCTTCCGCTAGTTTTCTTCTGCAGTTTTCCTGATTTTTGATGAACATATGAGCCAATTAAATATGTTCCCATTGAAGTCTATGGGAAAACGTGATCTGACATCCGGACGCTTCGACATCGGGGCAGGGTCAAGCTCCAATTACGTGCGCATCTTGGGTCCCCACTGTACTCTCAAACTAATGCTTTTGTGTCTTCCCGTTTCCTACAAAAATTTCTACATCAAGTTCAGCAGCCTACCCTACCCTACACAAACCCAATTCCTCTTCGGTGACAATGGCTATGTTCGCCAAAAATGCCAATTCGTGACCAAGAAAAGGCTAAAGTTGATGTGACACTCGAAGTTTACAGCAGTGAAAAGCATTTTAAATCAGAAGTATGGATATAGGAAGATATCTTAAGCGACGAAGCAGAAGTCTGAACCATCCCTGACATGTCAAGCGGAAATGTATCGTACATCAACCCTGATGAAAACTTCGGTACGAGGCCATCGGAAAATAATTTAAGGAATCGTAGACAAGACGCCTCAAGTCAGCATCCAAACGTTTGCGTGATTCCAACTCTAGTCACGTTCCCTGTAGATCGGAACCCTCTACGCTTACGCCAGCCATCAGCCTCCTAAGTGACAGAGTATAAACAAGGGACGGGAAGAAACATGGAATAGAGAAGATCAAGAGGCAAGCTCGATAAATCGATCTTTCTAATCAGTACCACGAGACGCTGCCCGAATGAGAGCATCCCACCTCATTAGCAAACGAGATCGAAACCCACCATACCAAGAAAGGAGTACATATTATACGTCCTGAATAACTTCCCGCGAGGGAAGAACTATACATGTAAGGCGCAAATAAACAACTTCGACACCTTGAATGAAATCTCCAATTGAACACGCTTCTCATTCGGGTAAAAATTCGGACTATACCTACGAAAATTACATTTCGGAGTGTCGAGGTTATTCCCGCTTCCTTTACAAAGTTTACATTATGCTATAAATTTCCAGAACTTCATTGATCACACTGGAAATGACGCAGTAACGAGATCTTTTCTCCACTTTGATAATCGCTGCTCAACTGATTAACTAGACGCAGTGAGCATCGTTTTAATCAGAGTTACTGATTAACCAAATTTCAAGAGGATTCACACTCTCCGGATTTTGATTTTATTTTTCATTGCAACCCCCGGACAAAAGCAACGGTGAACTTCGTTGAAAAAGAAACAGGTCTTTCCCTCCCTTCAGATCGCAGGAAATCAACGGTAGATCAGAAAAAATTTTCAACGGTTCCGAGAACGAGCAGATTTGAAAAATTGGAAACAGCGCCGTGACGGAAACTCAGCTCCGTACTTTCCAAATCGAAAAACGAACCTGACTTAGGAGCGAGATGTGATCGACGAAGTACTTATCGGCATGTGTTCGAACAAACCGATTACAGAGGCACGATTTTCCAGATCCCAAGATGCCTTTTTCTCGTTCGGTGCCGGATAAGCCAACTACGGAAACGCAAAATGTCCGACCTTCGCCTTTCTTGGCCATACTGCCGGGTCTGAGCTTGAAGTAATCCAGGATAGACGCGAATACTAGAGCAGTGCTCTAGAGAGCCTCAGAAGGCTTGAAGCCCGATTACGGACCGCAAATAACGACCAAAATCACCGTCTTCACATGCTTTGATTTTATTCTGAGATCAAAAACACAGCATCATCTCGAAAAATGACACTGCACTCTCATATTGTCATCTGAAAATCGCAAAATTAGGGGCTGATGATTATGGACACAAGTAAACGAGAAGTATGCGACGAC